GGGTCTCTATGTGAGTGAGTCTACGGGTCTCTGTGCGAGTGAGTCTACGGGTCTCTGTGAAAGCAAGTTTATGGGTCTCTGTGTGAGTGAGTCTATGGGTCTCCGTGCGAGTGAGTCTACGGGTCTCTGTGCGAGCGAGTCTATAGATCTCTGTGTCAGCACGTCTACGGGTCTCTGTGTGAGTGAGTCTCCGGTTCTCTGTGCGAGTGAGTCTACGGGTCTCTGTGTGACTCTACGGATCGTTTCCTCTGCACACGCCGGACGCTGATGGCGAGTAACAGGCGTGACCTCACACGGAGAGTTGATTGATCATGACGTGACGAGCAGGAGCGGGAGTCGTGAATCCTCCCCTCCTCCCCTTCCTCCTCTTCCTCTGTATGTTCCATTTACGCATCAACACAAACATCATCGTCAACGCCACCACCACCAATCATCATCGAATTTTCCGGTCCATACGGCGTACAGTCATTTCAATACTCGCAAAATGTGCTTATAATGTGTCCATTCGTTGGTGTTTCTCCCTCGTCATTGGACTTTGTACGCTGAACGTGGAGATTTATAAGAGTCACGGGGTGATAAATAAGGTCTGAGTTCCAATGGTGTAAATGCTTCAGCCCGAGCTCTCATACTCTGATGGTGCATTGTCTTTGAGTTGTGCGCCTTTTGGCGTCATCTGGTCCAACACCATGTGAGACTAGGCTCTAAAGAAAGCTGTCTCGGGTGTGGACCAATCAACTTCAAGGACGGTGCATACATTATCAGAGTTATGTTTTTTGTTTGCATTATGACTGCAGGTATTGTGGTCTATGCAAACATGACTCCTTGTAAAAAAAGATGTCAGTTTTGTTGCCAGATAAAAGGGTAAAAAAACAATTATCAATTACACTGGTCAACAAAAAAAACACATTTTTTTTTCTGGCCTGGACTTTTGCAGCTGTTCTAGACTAATTTCAGGGTGCTGATATCCAAATCTGATCTCAGATTTGCTCTATCACATCTCATTTTTATGCTATCGACATACCCCATTTTCATTGATTTTACCCGACATTTACTGTCACTTATGATTGCAAGTTGTTGCGAGTCAGTGACTGCTTTAGTGTTAAAATATGGTGCTGTATTTTTAGGATAGTGTGTTTATAATATCATTTTATGTAGATATCCACATTTATTTTATATTTTTCTTTCGCAGGTTTTATTGAAAATGAAATATTTGATATCTCAAAAACCTGGTGTGATAGACAAAAACCGATGCCAGATTTGTAATCAGCACCCCGAAATTACCTTTAAACCATTGGAATACCTTATGCCAGAAAAAGTGTGTTGACCAGTGTTATCAAGGTCTGAGTTTGTTTGCAATAAGGTAAAGGCACTGATAAGGGGTTGCCATTGCTGTGGTGTCGGAAACCGGTTCGATTGGGAGCGGTCGTGTAGCGGTTAGAGCACTACACTGCGAACTCTGGCCACCCGAGTTCGATTCCCGCTCACGGCCAAAAACGGTGACGATTACATGAACCGGTACTGGGCCTCCCCAAGGTCGACTCGGCCTCAAATGAGTACCTGGTGTGGTGTGTAAACATCGTCACTGGGGGAGACAAAGGCGGCCGGGCGTGGTGCTGGCCACCCACCCCCTCGTGTCCCGTGCCGGCCTTCATAGGTGTTCGCTAACAGCACTTGCCCCAACAATCTGTTGCAGGCTATACGGGGTCTTTGTGTTTTGTTTTTATGTTGTCGGAAACCGGTTCGGTGGTTGTGGACACCCAGATGTTTTGGGGCCAAGCTCCAACTTCAAGAGCTGTCAACAAACACGGTGTGTCTGTGCGTGTGTGTCTGTGTGTGTCTGTGTGTGTGTCTGTGTGTGTGCGTGTGTGTCTGTGTGTATGTGTCTGTGCGTGTGTGTGTGTCTGTGTGTATGTGTCTGTGCGTGTGTGTGTGTCTGTGTGTGTGTCTGTGTGTGTGTCTGTGTGTGAGTGTGTGGTCGCGCGTCTCTGTGTGAGCCTATGGGTTTCTGGTCTGTGTGTAGGTCTATGGGTATCTATGTGGGTCTCCGTGTGGCTCTGTGTGGGTCTATGTGTGGGTCTATGGGTCTTTATGTGGGTCTCTATGTGTGTCTCTGTGTGCGTCTATGGGTCTCTATCTGGGCCTCTGTGTGGGTCTCTGTGGGTCTATGGGTCTCTATGTGGGTCTCTATCTGGGTGTCTGTGTGGGTCTCTGTGTGGGTCTCTGTGTGCGTCTATGGGTCTCTATGTGGGTCTCTGTGTGGGCTCTGTGTGGGTCTATGAGTCTCTATGTGAGTCTTTGTGTGGGTCTATGGGTTTCTATGTCGGTCTTTATCGGGGTCTCTGTGTGGGCTCTGTGTGGGTCTATGGTTCTCTGTGTGGGTCTCTATTGGGGTCTCTGTGTGGGCTCTGTGTGGGTCTATGGGTTTCTATGTCGGTCTCTGTGTGGGCTCTGTGTGGGTCTATGGGTCTCTATGTGGGTCTCTATGTGGGTCTCTGTGTGGATCTCTATGTGGGTCTCTGTGTTGGCTCTGTGTGGGTCTATGGGTCTCTATGTAGGTCTTTGTGTGGGTCTATGGGTCTCTATGTAGGTCTCTGTGTGAGACAATGGGTCTTTATGTGCGTCTCTGTCTGAGTCTATGGGTCTTTATGTGGTTCTCTGTGTGAGTGTATGGATCTCTATGTGGGTCTTTATGTGAGTCTATGAATCTCTATGTGGGTCGTTGTGTGGGTCTATGTATCGCTATGTGGGTCTCTGTCTGAGTCTATGGGTCTTTATGTGGGTCTCCGTGTGAGTCTATGGGTCTCTACGTGGGTCGCTGTGAGGGTCTATGGGTCTCTGTGTGAGTCTATGGGTCTCTATGTGGGTCTCTGCGTGAGTCTATTGGTCTCTATTTGGGTCGCTGTGGGGGTCTGTGGGTCTCTGTGTGAGTCTATGGGTCTCTATGTGGGTCTCTATGTGGGTCGCTGTGAGGGTCTGTGGGTCTCTGAGTCTATGGGTCTCTATGTGGGTCTCTGCGTGAGTCTATGCATCTCTATGCATCTCAGTGTGACTACGCGAGGGGCCGTTCGATCCTCTGCGTGTCATCTCTGCGAGTCTCTGCATTACTGCGCACGCCCGTGGCCCTCTGGCGCCCCGAGCCCGTAACCCACATGCAAGCCCCGGTGCTGCCGTACACACCTCGCGTGCCACGTGGGGGCAGCTGCCACTGGGTGGGGCGCCCCTTGGGCTGGACTGAAGCAGGAATCGCAGAATAAACAGCCACTCAATTTACGACCGAAATTGATTTCGCCACAAATCCGGCTGTCGGCTGATGAAGCTGGTTGTAATTATTGGCGAAACGTCGTACTCAGATTGTAAATGTTGTGGCGTGGCTCTCCAACACACCGGTTAGTGCTGGACTAGTATACTACACTATACACTACACTACTATACACTACACTATACACTAGTGCTGTACCAGTGACGAATTGGCCACGTTCTGTTTACGTGACAAACTGGCTGTGCTGGGCGGTGCCGGGTTTAACAACGCATATACACAATCTAACCCCAAAAATCTGTATTATGGATGATATTGGTTGCGAAAGCCTACTACGTGTTGAACCAAGCTGCTGCTGCAATCGCTTGGCAAAATGTCACCGCAACCTCGCCGCGGAATCGTAAAAGTCCGAGAGGGTTTTACTCCACCGACAGCACGTGCTCAGTGGGTGCAGAAGTCGTCAACTTAATTGGGCAAAGTTTTGTGGCTCACGTGACAACACTTACACGGGGCACTCTTCGATACACCATACCGTGTCAACCCACGTGGTTTACTCCGTATTCTAGCACAGGGGAAATTGAGTTTTCAGGTCCATACGGCGTCGAGACGTTTCAATACGGGCACATTTTTTTTATACTTGTTTGTGTTTCTCCCCTGTGATGGGACTTTGTCGGATGAACGTTGATACACGGTGTGACGAATCAGGTCTGAATTGGTCTGTAATAAGGTAGGGCACTGATAAGGTGTTAGCAGGTATGATATAGACGGAGACCCATCGAGACCCATAGAGACCAAAAGAGATACACAGAGACCCATAGAGATAGATGGAGACGCACAGATATACATAGAGACCAATAGCGATAAATAGATGCAACATACCTGTCAACCGAAACGATTTACCCTGTATTCATAATGTTTCATGCTTTGATACTGGCAAAAATGGATCCCATGATATAGCTGCTCACCCCGAGATATACATGCAACAATACACGTGCATTGTCTTTGTGCTGTTCGCTTTTTGCCATTCTCTGGTCTGCCACTGGTAGTGACACTAGGCCCTAAAGAAGGCTGCTGTCTCTGGTGTAGGCCAAACAGTTTCAAAGACAACGCCCATGTATAATCAGAGCCATGTTTGTTTGCATGGTCACCACAAGTACCGTGTGTGGTTAATGGAGTAACTTGATTCCTGGCAGAAGGTTTCTATTTGGTGTCTAAACATCAGAAATGGTAAAACACCGATTATAATTGTTCACGATTAGGCTGTGTTGGGGTGGTGGTAGTGGCCGCTTTATTGACAAAACTTTTATGTTTACGCAATATAACCTCTAAATCCCCCCCCCCCTGTATTATGGACAACATTGGTTGCGAAAGCCCTGCCACTACCACTACTACCACTACCACCACCGCACCAGGTACTCATTTGAGGCCGAGCTGATCGAGACGATGCCCAGGCCTGGATCTGATCATTGTCACTGGTGGTGGTGGTCGCGGGTGCGGTGGCGCAGCAGCTAGCGCACCGATTTCTATTCCCGCTCACGGCCACCAACCGCCGTGACGGTCACCTGTAGCGCTCATGGGTCTACCCCTAGGTCGACTCGGCCTCAAATGAGTACCCGGCTGCGGTGCGTGGACAACGCCGGTCTCGAAAGCCCTGCCACCCCTCCCCACCGCTGCCACCACGACCGTGCGTTGAACTGTCTCTCGCTTGTTTTTTTTCTTCCTGCACTCGCTTTCTCGCTCCTAGGGCTTCCACTGACCAAGTCCGACAAGTCGCGGCGTCCACCTCTCTTAGCGCGCGCAACGACACCGAGCCACCGGCGGTGCCCTTGGGCAAGTCGAGGTAATTGCGATTAGAGATGACAATTCCCACCCCCCACCCGCCCGCCCGCCAATGTAGCCTTCAACGGGCTGTTGGGGTCACGTGCTGTTCGGTAGCAAGTGAACTAAGAACGTAAACTGTCACATTGATATGAAAATTCTTTTGTCAAGACACTCTTCCTCCTCCAACCCAGCTTAAATATACGCTCCAAGCCTGGTGGTGTTTCATTCAGACGCTGTCTTTCCGACAGACCTGTTCTTCACCTGAGGACAGCTGCTTGCGTTGTGAGAATTTTTTTGTTTAGGTTTTATTTTTATTATTTTATTACTTCCCTTCTACGTGACTTTACCGAAAGAACCAAGAAGATGTCACATTGTTGTTTTGGCAAGCTGTAAGGGTCCACTGAGCCGCTATGTGCCTCTGTTTACATAGTTTAACCGAAGTGGTTCATTGTCGTCGTGTGGAAATTTACAGCAGCAAAATACTCTAAGTGAAATTACACAAAAAACTTGACTTAAAGCTTCCGTGACTGCAGGAATTCATATGCTTTAGGTCTTTCGGTAAAGTCACGTAGATAGGTTCAAAGAAAATAACAAATTAACAAAAAACTACGACGTTTTGATCGCAACACAAGCAGTCGTCATCAGGAAAAGGGGGGTTAGCTTCTAAAGACAACTGTTTATAAAGGTTTGAAATGACCGTAGCCCAAATGTCACCAGCCAATGTTAATGTAAGTGGTGGGCAGCGACTGCGGCGGTGATGGGTTTTCCACAAATCAAAGGGCTGCCAGGTAAACATTTGCATGCTAACTCAATAAAAATGTTTTTACCAGGTAATGCCCCACTTAGCTATGTAGCTCTTTTACAGGTAGGAACAACAGCTTCCACACTGCCCACCAGGGATTATTTGTCTGTCTGTCGTGCATAGCCACGCCCTCGATTTGTAATTCATAGAGTGCTTCGGGCGGGCTCAGCACCACGTGACGCACCGCCACACGCGGCTTGCGCCGTGTGACACGGATCGCACGAATGCGCCGTCCAATCAAGTTCCTACCAGCCCACTCCGAAGGAACGTGTTTCAGAAGCGACCTGACCATCACAATTGATAGCTCAACTAAGCGGCGGCTCATCATCATCATCGTGTGGAAATTTATAGCAGCACCCAAATACTCTGATATGCATGTCTATTCTAAATTTGGAGAGAAAACCCGGAGGACCCGGAGAAAAAGAACACGCGGCCACGGGGAGAGAGACACGCAAACTCCAAATATACAGCAGCAGGCGTCAGGGTCGGGATCGAACCCACAGCCTCCTGTATACCAGGCGAGGTAGTTAACATCTCCTAGCCACCGTGATGATGATGAGAGAGAGACACGCAAACTCCAAATATACAGCAGCAGGCGTCAGGGTCAGGATTGAACCCACAACCTCCTGTATACCCGGCGAGGTAGTTAACATCTCCTAGCCACCGTGTAGCCGTAACTATGAAGGCTGACATGGCACACGGGGGAGTGGGTGGCCAGCAACTACGCCCGGCCGCCTTTGTCTCCCGAGTGGCGATGTTTACACACCGCACCAGGTACTCATTTGAGACCGACTCGACCTAGGGAAGGCCCAGGACCGGTTCAGATCATTGTCACAGGTGGTGGTCGTGGGGAGCGGTGGCGCAGTGGTTAGCGCACTGCGCTATGAACCGGGTGACCTGAGTTCGATTCCTGCTCACGGCCAACACCGGCGACGATTATCTGTAGTGGTCATGGGCCTCCCCCTAGGTCGACTCGGCCTCAAATGAGTACCTGGTGTGGTGTGTAAACATCACCATTGGGGAGACAAAGGCGGCCGGACGTGATTTCTGGCCGCCCGCCCCCTCGTGTGCCACTGTGCCGGCCTTCATAGGTGCTGCACGCTAACAGCACTTGCCCCGGCAGCCCGTTGAGGCTACACAGGGGATCTTTGTCTTTCATTTTTTGGCGGTTGTCAGCGGGCGGGTGGAGTGAGCCCAGTGATTGATGCCGGATCTGTAACCGATTTCTGGTTGTGGCTTTGCTCTCCAACACACCGGTGTGCTATACTAGCGTAGTGGGTTGAAGGAGAGTAAAGACGGCTTGTAGAGGCAACACGTTTATTCAAATAACAACGGTAACAATTCCTAACACAAAGGGGTAGCGGCCCCAATACCCGATACCTAGAGAGGTATAGCCTCCGGACTAGTGTGTCCTATCGACTGGGCTACGTACTCTCGGCCCTCTGGCTAAGGGGCCTTAGGGGAGGCTATCCGACCCGACCCAGCCAAGGTCCTCGGGTCCAACCACTGGTCCACTCGATCCCGGCCCTTAGAAGGACATCGGATCTGCGGGTCCCAGGGTGCTAGCCTAAGCAGGTCTTTAGTCTTCAGCTTGACGATGACTGCTGGACCCATCTAGAGGTCCGGCTTTTATACCCGTTTCAGGGTGTCTCCGCCCCGAGCCATGCCTCCCTTCTAGAACTCTCTAGGGGGCTCTGGAATATCCCCCCAGGCCCTCTCTTGGGGTCTGGGGAGCCCTATTGGCCCAACGAGCCAACTCATCTCACACATTCGTTATACCACCCCCTATTGACACATGCCTGTTGCTACAGGTAAGGATGAATGGGAAATGTCCACAGTGCCAGAGGTCGCAAACGGGTTTTGATTCCTTACCCGTACCCGTACCCGGCCGCACCAGGGTCGCAAACGGGTACCCGTACCCGTACCTGGCCGGGTACGGGTAGCCGGGTATCGGGTAGGGTACGGGTATCGGGTACCCGATTGCGACCTCTGCACAGTGCCCAACTACGCTACTACACTAGTAAGGGATTGGCATGTTCTGTTTACGTGACAAATACAGGGTGCTTCAAAAATGTTTTAACACTTACATGGGACTATCGTTTTTAATGTAAAAAGAGCGGATAATACACTGTAACATGATAACAAATGTGTGTTAATAGCTTCAAAAAGTCAAAAAGTCTCCCACTTGTTCGCCATAGTTGTCAACACACACCTGCAATCTTTTCCAGGTGGTCTCCAGAGCCCCGGAGGCACATTTCTTGTGGTATTGCTGCAAATTTTCATAAGTGTTAACATTTTTTGAAGCGCCCTGTTTTAACGCGACCTAACCCAACAAACCTGGATTAAGGATGACATTTGGTCGCGAAAGCCTACCACGTGTTAAACCCATCTCCGTCGTTTCCTCTTTTCCCAGACCGAAGATGAAAGTCAAACTGAGCCCTCAGTGCCGGCAAACCTTGACGAGCATCGCCAACGACCCTCCGCCAAAGACGTGAGAACACATTGGTTCAACACCCGGACGGGGTGGGGTCGGGGGGGGGTTTGGGTTGTCGTTGTCGACTGAAGCTTTAGGCCAACTTTGGCGTGCTGGGCGCTCCGTGATCCCCGTGGGGACCGCAGGTTCCACGCCGGTGTCGGTGCGGTGGGACGTTAAGCGCTCAGCCACACTCACCGGGTGAGCGACGGGGGGAGCGCCACTCGGCCACGCTCACCAGGTGAGCGATGGGGGGAGCGCCACTCGGCCACGCTCACCGGGTGAGCGACGGGGGGAGGACCACTCGGATTGCTCACCGGGTGAGCAACGGGGGGACCGCTGCTCAGCCACGCTCACCGGGTGAGCGATGGGGGAAGCGCCACTCGGCCACGCTCACCAGGTGAGCGATGGGGGAAGCGCCACTCGGCCACGCTCACCGGGTGAGCGATGGGGGAAGCGCCACTCGGCCACGCTCACCGGGTGAGCAACGGGGGGAGCGCCACTCGGCCACGCTCACCGGGTGAGAGACGGGGGGAGCGCCACTCGGCCACGCTCACCGGGTGAGCGATGGGGGGAGGGCCGCTCGGCCACACTCACCGGGTGAGCGATGGGGGGAGCGCCACTCGGCCACGCTCACCGGGTGAGCGATGGGGGGAGCGCCACTCGGCCACGCTCACCGGGTGAGCGATGGGGGGAGCGCCACTCAGCCACGCTCACCGGGTGAGCGACGGGGGGAGCGCCGCTCGGCCACGCTCACCGGGTGAGCGATGGGGGGAGGGCCGCTCGGCCACGCTCACCGGGTGAGCGATGGGGGGAGGGCCACTCGGATTGCTCACCGGGTGAGCGATGGGGGGACCGTTGCTCGGCCACGCTCACCCGTGGCAGCAGCACTCGAAGGGTCACAGCAAGGTGACCGACTTTCGCTGAGTGACCGGTGGCTCGCCAGTCACAAGGCGGTCGCCGACGCCGCTGCCGGGTCAGGTGACCGGAAATTTGCGCGCGGCGATGGATCGCCGTTTTAAGACTCATTCAAGGCGGCGAAAAAGGCGCCCGTGGCTGTAGTGAAACGACGCGACAATGCGAGGTTGCACCGTGCAAATGCAGCAGCTCAACACAGCATACACGCTCTAAGGAGCAAACAACAGCCATGGAGATGGCAGCTGGTGCAGCGAACCAAGAATGAGGAACGAACGCTGTGGGAGTCACTGCGAAATATTCCATTGGAAAAGGATGACTATGCAGGAGAAGTCGAGTGTCAAGCGGCTGGGTTCCCGGTCAACCGAAAAATCAACATAACCAGCTCTCAGGCGACCGGGAAAAGCGCATGCCGTGAGGACGTTTAGCCAGAGCTGGTACGCCAGAAAGGCCTGGGCTCTGTGGATGTGCACAGCATAATGCACTTTTCTGTTTCACTTGACCTCGGCTAAAATTTGTCGAGTTGTGAGCTGATCTCGAAATGCTCTTTGGGCGTTTTGGCAGAGTCAAAGGGGTTTGTGTAGTGTGTGGATGTGAGGGGTCATGGGAACAACATTTGAGTGCTTCATTGTGCCGTTTCGTACGAGCGCCCCACCGTTGGTAGGCGAGACAGTGATCGTTTTCACTTTCACGGCGATGCCGATAACGCGACGGGGCTCTGTTTTGTATTTCGTTTGGACACCGTCTCTTCGGAGGTGACTCATAAACCAGCCCCACCTGCAGTGGCAATGTCGCGAGCCGCCGCTGGTCAACAGGTCACATGTCAACGGTTCAAGAGGTCAACATGTCAACAGGTCAACATGTCAACAGACCAACAGGGTAACATGTCAACATGTCAACATGCCAACAGATCAACATGTCAACATGGCAACAGCTCAACATGTCAACAGACCAACAGGTCAACATGTCAAAAGACCAACAGGTCAACATGTCAACGGGTCAAGAGGTCAACATGCCAACAGGTCAACATGTGAACATGCCAACAGGTCAACATGTCAATAGATCAACAGGTCAACATGTCAACGGGTCAAGAGGTCAACATGTCAACATGCCAACAGGTCAACATGTGAACATGCGAACAGGTTAACATGTCAATAGACCAACAGGTCAACAACAGTCTCCGTGGACGCGGGGAGGGGGTTGGTGGTGGTGACCCCGCTCTGTTTCTTGCCTTAGGTTCAACGAACAGTTGGTGGTGGAGAAGATTCTGAAGGTTCGTGATTGTCCCTGGCTCGAGAACCGCACCGAGATCGACGCCTTCCGGTAAGGCGTTTCACTCCCGGCACGCACGACAGCGGGGTGGGTGTGGGTTCTGGTCGCCCTCGCAATGTTTGGCTGCTGGCATTGTCCGGTCTGGCGCTAAAACATAAACTCAACTTTTTATTTCATTTTGACCAGGTGAGACCCAATTGAGCTACTCTGTAGCTCTTTTTCAGAAGCCACGTGGCCATCACAAATGATAGCTCAACCAAGTGGACTTATCATCACCATCATCACCGTGTGGAAATTTTATATCAGCCAAATACCCTAAATGAATGGGTGGAGGTTGAGTGGGTGGGTAGGTGATGGTTGGTTGGTGGTGGGTGGGTGTTTAGTTGGTGCGTGAGTGGGTGGGTGGTGGGTTGATGGTGGGAAGGTGGTGGGTGGGAAGTTGGTGGGTGGTGGTAGTTGGTCACTGGTGATGGGTGGGTGAGTGAGTGGGTGGTTTGTGGGTGGGTGGTTGGTGGGTGGGTGAGTGGGTGGGTGAGTGGGTGAGTGGGTGGGTGGTGGCTGCGTCAGTGGCTTTCCGGTTTTTTAAACCCCTACCTCTAGCTTATACTATTTTTAAGTTACCAAGTGTAAGATTGCCAACTGAGCTACATAGCTCTTTTTCAGAAGCGACCTGGCAATCGCAAATAATATCTCACCGAAGTGGGGTTATTATGATCATCATCGTGTAGAAATGTATTGCAGCCAAATACTCTAAACGCGTGATGTTGATTCTAAATGTCAAGGGCAATACCGGAGGGCCTGGAGAAGAATCTACGCAACCATGGGGGAGAGAGACACCGCAAACTGCAAATAAACAGCGGCAGGCATCACCGTCGGGTGTGAAATAACGACTCTTTGCATCCCAGGCGAGGGGGTTAACATCTCGCCACCATGGCATATACTGGTGGGATAAGGCCACAAAAAAAGCTGCTGTCTCTGGCACAGGCGAGTGAGTTTCAAAAACAAGGCATGTATTATCCGAGTATGTTTGTTCGCATGGTTTGCCACAATTACGTGTGGTTAATGCAGACTCGATGCCTTGCAATAGGTGTATCCAGAAATATATAAACATAGACATAACTTCAACCGGGAAGATGGATACAGATTGAGCAATCATTGGAAGGATGTTATTAACCAGGTAAAACCATAACTGCTTTTGGCCCGCCTTCATATCCGCATCTCCAGTTTCTTAACCCTCCCACTCTCAGCCCTGCCCAATTCCCCTCCCCACCCCGGCATTTTTTGCCGTACTTGTGTCCTCCCTACCCCTGCCCCACACTCCCTGTATCTCCTCTCTGGCTCATAACCCTCCCACTCCTAGCCCCGCCCAATTCCCCTCCCCACCCCGGCATTTTATGCCGTGCTTGAGTCTAACTTGTATCATCCACTCCCCCTACCCCACACCGCCACCCTCCCTGTCTCTCCTCCCTGGCTCGCCCCCCCCCCCCTCTTGCCTATGTAGGGGTGTCAGGGGAAGGATTCCCACCAATAGAGGGGTTAGTGGGAGGGGTGATCGAAGAGATATAAGGAGAGAACGGGCGGGAAGGAGGGGCCTTTGGCGGGAACGAGATTGGGACGGCTGGGGACAGGTGTGGATGGAAGGAAAGGAATAAAGGACGAGACCCCTGCAATCTGGTGTCGGCTCCTACTTTACATCTGGTGGCAGCGGTGGGATCTCATGGCTACAAAGAAAAATCCCCGCGGGAAAGAGCCAAGGGAGGAGGAAGCAGGGGCCGGGGATCCTTCCCATCCCGGGCAACAAGGGGGCCTGCTATCAGAAGCAGCAGCAGGGGGCCCGGATCGCCTGGAGGACCCCATGGAGGACCGCATGGCCCGCGTGGAGAGGGCACTCCAGGAGCTCCTACAGAGGCTCCCTATGGGGGGCCCGCCAGCACCGGGACCCCCACTCCCACGCGTACTACGGGAGGAGAGGCCACGGGACTCGGAGGCCGACCAGCCGGCCGGGCAAGAGCCGCAACCAACCTCGTCACGCCAGCCGCCGCCGGTCCCGCCAAAACCCCCAGGGCTAACCACCCAACACGGAGAGCAGGTGGCCGGACGGCCGCGTCGGCTGGGGCCCGTCGACAAGTTCGTGGCTGAGGAAGAAGACTGGGAGGAGTTTGTCCGCCGATTCGAGGCTGCCTTCCACGCTCTCGAGTGGACAGACGAAGAGGCACTACGAGCGCTGCCATCCGTTCTGGGTAAGGAAGCACTCGCCTCTTACACCTCCCTTCCCTCGCACAGCAAGACCACGCTACAGGCGGCCTACGAGGCTTTGGGGGAGATCTATTGCCCGGCGGAAGGAGCCTTTAAACGGTTCCAGGATCGCCAGCGAGGGGCTAAAGAATCCCCTTTAGCCTACAGGGGTGCACTGCTCGTGTTGGCGAGGAGAGCTTTCCCTCGCCTGGCTGAAGAAGCGCTCGAGGACCTCGTGGTCGAGCACCTCATCGCCTACGCTTGCCGCGCCGGCATTGTAATGCCCGTGGTGACGCCGGGGGAACGCACCTCGCTGTGGGCTGCCCGGACCATCCAAGCCCACGAGCAGGTCATGGGCCGGGCGCCACCCGTGGGCCCGGTGGCTGGCGCGGCGGGGGGGAACAGCCGAGCCGTTGCCGCGGCGCTACTGGGTCCAGCGACACCAACCGCCGAACCTGCACCGTCGCCACAGGCTGCCTGTGGAGCAGCTGGGGACGGACACCCGACGTCTGAGACGGAGCCATCGCTGCGGGAGGTGTACGCGGCGATCCGGGGACTGGCGGAGCAGAGGGACCAGGGGCGCGACCAACCGCCGCGTCGCTGGCAGCCGCCTCTACAACATCGCGCCGAGCCCCCCCGACGGAACGCCCCGTGGGTCTGCCACCATTGTGGTCGAGAGGGGCATGTGGCGAGGGGGTGCCGCACAGAGCCGGAGGCCGCCAACGTCACCTGGAACCCGCCGGGGCCGAACGCCGACAGGATCCAGGCGAGTGACGCCGTCCCGCCCGGCCTCTCGGTCGGGCCGAGCAATTATAATTCCGACGCCGCGAACTTACCGGGAGTCTCCTCGGGGTGGGCGCCGTCGGTGTCGTTCCCCGGTCCCCATTGTCCGGGTCGGGGGAAGGGGATCGCGCCGGGGACAGCGCCGGGGCCTGGGATTGCGTCGCGACCAGGGGTGGCGTCGCGACCCGGAGTGGCGTCGCGAACGGATGTGACGTTGCATCCGGGAGTGACGTCGCGGCCAGGAGTGGTGTCGCGGATCGCGCCGGGAGTTGCGCCGGGGCCGTGGACCACGTCGGGGATCGCGCCGGGGCCGGAGACCGCGTCGGGAGTCGCGCCTAGGCCGGGAGGGACGTCGCGGGCGGACGTGACGTCGCGGGCGGAGGTGACGTCGCGGGCGGACGTGACGTCACGGGCGGAGGTGACGTCGCGGGCGGACGTGACGTCGCGGGCGGAGGTGACGTCGCGGGCGGGCGTGGTTTCGCGGGCGGGCGTGACGTCGCGGGCGGGCGTGGGTTCGCGGGCGGGCGTGACGTCGCCGGCGGGCGTGGTTTCGCGGGCGGGCGTGACGTCGCGGGCGGGCGTGGGTTCGCGGGCGGGGCGTGACGTCGCCGGCGGGCGTGGTTTCGCGGGCGGGCGTGACGTCGCCGGCGGGCGTGGTTTCGCGGGCGGGCGTGACGTCGCCGGCGGGCGTGGTTTCGCGGGCGGACGTGACGTCGCCGGCGGGCGTGGTTTCGCGGGCGGGCGTGATGTCGCCGGCGGGCGTGATGTCACCAGTTGCCTGCGACGCCGGCGAGTTGCCAGGGGCAACGGCCCGGGGGCGGAGGCAGCCCACAAGATTGACAGTGCGCCCTGGAGCAGTTCTACGGGCCACCTCACCACCGCTTTGTGGCAGAGCGAGACGGAACCAGGGGGACCACGCCCCCGTGACAAAGGGAAGGGAGGGGAGAAGGGAGGGGCTCACGGGAAGGCCCACCCCCCAGTCCCCACTGCCCCCTACAATGGGGGGGGCCCCCCACACCACAAGGGGGGCCCACCCTACATCACCAAGGGGGGGCAAATTGCACCACATAGAGAGCACAGCCCTCAACCCAGGGGTAAGCCCACACTATGTAACAAGGGCGCGCTCACCCTGCTGCGACGCACTCCAAAGGGAGGAACCCCATCTTCAGTCCATTCACATCCATCCCCCATCATTTCACCATGCACCACAGGATAACGAGACGCCGCCTGGTCAGTGGCCGGACTCAGCCACACAATGGAGGAAGCTGGCAAGGCGGGTGGTAGCGGCCACGTCGGGAACCTCGGTCCTGGTCGGTGAAATCGCGGGAGTGTCGGCACGTATCTTGGTGGATACGGGGGCATCAGCCACGATCATCTCGAGCACCATGCACGAGATGCTGCCGGATAAAATCCGACCTTTAGTCCCTGTCAAGACAACGTTCATTGCAGCAAATGGAGGCAGCATGGGCTTCCTGGGCCAGGTTGAAGCCCCGATACAGATTGGGCAGCTCTCGGTAGCAGGACCCATCCTTGTCTCCGCAACGTTGCCCGTACTCTGCCTGTTGGGGACGGACTTTCTGAGGCGGATGCCAATTAAAATCGATCTGGCCAATGGGCGGGTGGAAGTCCAGGGAACGCATCTCCATTTCCTAAAGGCGGAGGGGGCCAGCCGGGGTGTACCCTACGTGCAGGCTCTGGTCAGTAAGTCTGTCTCCATTCCCCCGGCAGCCCAGATGCTGATTCCGCTGCAATATCGGTCTCCCCTCGTGACAGCCCGACCAGACTCACCCATCCTGGTGTCTCCGGCGTCAGCTGCCATGGATCGCCATGCGCTGGTGGGAGCCGAAACTATTGTACAGAGGAACCAGCATCTGTTCATTCAGGTGCTGAACACCTCCGATAGAACAGCGACGGTGCAGGAGGGAACAGTTCTGGCCCACGTTAGTCCCTTGTCACTAGGAGCCCCAGGGACAAAGCCCGAGCTTGTAGGCAGCATCAGCCAGTCCGAGGACAGAGGGGCCGAATCATGGATG